CAAATAAAATAAAAAAAAATTTTCTTTAATTTTTTATTTTTAGGAAATAACTAATGCAAAATTGTAACAAAGTCGAAAAAAAATTGTCTTTCATTTTGATGAAGATAGACAATAATCAGAAACAATATGTGCAATTGTTCCTTTAATTCCTTTGCAAAACTTTGATCAATCAGTCCGAGAAAAGGGTTCGATGGATCGATTTAAAAATTAGCAGGGCAATGGGGGATACATTGAGCTGTAAAAACACCTAAAAACATTACTCTCCCCATCAATATTAGTGAATACGCGGTTGATTTACTAAAACAACCCAAAAAGTTACTTTTTTCTCTTTCCTTTAAATCAATGTTGAGTTTGAAAAAAAATAATTTTTGAAAAAATTATAAAAGAATCTTGTAAGACAGTTTTTAAAACTATTCTTATGTATATTCTCTCTGTGGTCATTGGTTGCTGAGGTATCGATGATCAAAGACAAAAGGCCTCTTTTTCATTTAAAGTCAGATATCTTAGCTACAAATTGACGTAAAGAGAAAATGAAAAAAACGTATTAAAGGTGCATTGATTTAACTAAAAAAAAATCCCAACGAAAAACAAAAACAAGAAAATTTAGAATTTTTTTCACGATATTACTAAGGATTGCGTGGTAATCGTAGCATAGAAAAAAAATTGCCAAAAGATCTCAAAACTAGAAACTTAAAATTTCCAGTTGTTTTTTTAGACAATTTTTAGATGAATTACAGCCTTTCAAAAACCACCAAAAAATGTAGGAAAAATTTTTGTTCCTTTAATTTTTTGTAGTAGCGTAGTATTAGTAACAGCATTTTGTTGCAGCAGGTGGAGGATCCGGTGGTGGAACAACACACCAAAGGTTGTGGGGGTTATGTCTTAATCTCGGCCGACTTCAACGGCTGCATCAAAGTATTTATCAATAAAATGAAACCTAAACATAGCTCATTACCCGTTTCCGCAATGGTGTCAAACACCAAAATAAAGAAAACTTAGAGTAGCTTTACTTTTAGTACTAAATTGTGATCGATTGTATTATATTTTTTTTAAATTGTACATTATTTTATCCAGTTCTAATACACACTAATTGAGAACTAGACTTGTTTATTTTTATGGTAAAGTACCGTTAAGTGATGTCGTGGTTGCCTAATGGTGATGTTTCATGGGATGTCGCCGTAATGATGGTGGTAGTCGCTTGGCCACGAGTGATGGAGGTATGTCCGAGGTGATTACCGTCGAATTACAGTCATTTTGGGACATTTCGAACATGTAAGATAGGTCTATGTCGTATCTTGGTAGTTTATCTCGGAGATAAGAAATAACGTTGACGCCGAGAACTGGTTCTCGACTCATTATGAAGCTGGATAAGTAACGAGGGACTTTAGATTTCTCGGCACAGTGGAGTAGCAAGGCCCAAGAGGTGTAGTCCGAATCCAAAACAAACGTGTTGTACACACCCTCATCTAAAAAGGGAACAAATTAAATGCACAGTATATTATTTTAACGACAAGTATTTTTGATCAGTAAAAATAATCAGCAAAAAAATTAATGCACAGTAGAAATAATAAATGCACAGTAAAAATAATAAATGCACAGTAAAAATAATAAATGCACAGTAAAAATAGTGAATGAATATATAGCAAAATTAATTAATTTAATATTCACACATTTACAAAGCGTTCAAAAACAAAACTGTGGTGTCAGGAGCACAGCAGTGCAAAGAGTGGCTGATTAGACTGATTACCATTTGTGCACAGTTTCCAGCCCTTGCTAAAATCATTCTTGCGCAGGGGCCATACACTGTTATGCAACCAAGATTGAAAATTCTCTAAATTTTATGTTGTTTTACTAATTTTGATTAAAGTTACTGAGCGTTTATTATTTTTACTATGCAAATTGGATTTTTTCACTGAATCAATTACAATAAAACACTGTACGTGCTTGACTTAGCATTTATTATTTTTACTGTGCAGTATGTTATACTGATCATTTTTAATTTTTTACTGTGCAAAAATTAATTCAATACTAATCATTTATCATTTTATACTGATCAAAGTTGAATTATTTACTGATCGCTTTATTACTACCCATCTAAAAATAATCCATTATTTATTTTTGGAAAATTGTGTCACAACGCAAATATTCAATTTCTACTATCTTATTTACATTCATCAAATAAAACAAAGCTCTCTTTCACGTCAAGTTTTGAATGACGTCGGTGGCCACGTTCGTAACGGGACTGAAAATCTGAGATGATCGATTGATCCAAATTGGATTTAAATCGAGTTTTTATAACCGAGAGGTAGAGAAAATTGCATATGTAACAATTTGCTAATTGGGACTATTATCTCGGTTTAACACTGCTACTAGACCATTTTATAAGTTCTCGGTACTAAAAATGAGACAAATAGGGCATTGTCGCCAATTACAAAAAAAATCAATCAACAGATTAATCTTTTTTATCCGGAAATGTCACACAAGTGACCACTTTTATGAGTGAATTTCACACGTAAAAGTTTTACCTTTTAGTCATGGAGAAAAAATTCTATTTTTGTGCCTAAACGTTCTTACTTTTACCATACATTGACATTTACCAGTGTTGTCTCTTTTTTGCCTCTTTCGCTGCTTACACTGTATATTATCAGCATGCGACATTTTACACTACTAACTGCGCTAGTTAAATTAATAAACACTTTCGAAAATCTCAAATTCTGATTATTTTGTTCATTTTACTTACTAATTATACTAATTATAGTATTGCTCTTTACTCTGGATTTGAATATGTTTGCCGAACAAAAAGTATATGTTATTTGGTGTAAAAGCGAATTTATGTCACACAGCTTCGTCACATAAACTATCACTTTTACTTCTAATAACGTAATATACTATTACAAAATTTGTTATGTGACTAAAACTTTTTCTCCTATTGCCTAATATTTGAAAGACAACTTCACTAATTTTAATACATATAGGGTGATTTTTAAAAAACGGCAGGCGCTGTAGAATTTTTAATTGTGACCCGATTTCAAAAATTAAAAAATAAATTAAATGGCTTTTAATATAGAATAAGTTTACCTCTCCCGGTGGGCGCTTTGGGAGATTTGCTTTGCAAATTCCCAGCCCCCGGTGTGAAGGTCTAGATTCCCCACACACTTGACAGGTGGCGCTCTGCGCTACCACTGTCTCATCTATAGAATAAGCTGACAATTTTAGAATTTTTCAAAATTCTATTTTGGACTATATTCAAATTTCTAATTTTAAATTGGAATCAAAATTTTGTTCTTCATAGTTTGGAAGGTATTAATTTTTTTTGGTACTGACATGTGCAATATGTTCTACTTTTATTAAAAATTATTGTTTAAAAAAAGTTGTCAAAGTTACAAAAAATTAATAGCAGATAATAAAATCTATGCCATTATTGTAATGTCAGAAAGCAGCAAATAAAAGAAAATTCGGCCAATATTTTTTCAAATTTTTAATAAGAAATGACAATAATATAGCAAATCACAAAAAGATCTACTTTAGTGTTATTAATTTATTTTATTTTGTTTCCTTTTTTATTGACACCATGCAACTTGATTTTATTAAGTTTTACTATTTTTTTTCAACCTTGATATATTTTTTAAACAATAGTTTTTAGTAAAAAAGTAAAACATATTGCATATGTCAAGAAAACTAATATTTTCCAACTTATGAAAAAAAAAAGTTTGGGTCCCTAGTTAAAATTAGAAAGTTGAATATAACCTAAAATGCACCATGACATTTAGAAGAATTCTAAATTTGTCAGCTTTTATACTATATTAAAAGCCATTTAAATTATTTTTGTAACTTTTGAAATAATTAAACATTCTACAGCCCCTTCCGTTTTTTAAAAATCACCTTGTACCAAGTGGGGCATCGGTTACGCACAGAAAAAAAATCCCCACTTTTAATTAAATAAAATTGTGAAATTTTTCACACTTACCTGGGCATTAATAAGGTACATTTCATGATTTTTTGATATTTTTTTATTTACAAAGCCAAAAAAAGTAATTTTTTCCCAAAAAGTTACAGTCTAATTTTTATACTGACCTACGCAGATTCACTTCCTGTAATTGTTTACGAAATCAGAAAAAAAATACCAATTAGATTTTGAATTCAACGCAATTTTCCATCTTAACTTTGAAAATTATTTTTATTTATGACTTGCTACTTGTGCCACCATAAATTTAGATGTAAATGGGGAACTGTAATTGGGGTAATATTCCAAGATTTACAACAAAAAGAGACTTCAAAGTGGTTGGCTACCAGTAAATGATTCTTTTGTTGGTAAATTATACCATTTAGTCATAAATCACGCGTCTGGTTTGTGTTTAAATAAAAAAGCGATTATTTAGCTAACCAAGTCAAAATTTGTAATTGTGATATCAAAGTTTGATGCGCTAGCAGGTACAAATTAATTTAGTGTAAAAACTTTATAGGTAAATTAACAGAAAGCATTCATAAAACACAGAAAACTGTTACGGCCTCTATTATTATCAAAAAAATTTAGAAAAATTTGTAAATGTATTCTATCAATAATTAGTTAGGTTTATGAAATATTGCACGTTTTAACTAATTAGAAGTCGCGATTTATCAAGTGAGCGTAACCGATGCCCCTCTCGGCATAATGCAAAACATTACATGTCATTTTTGCTACAATTCCAATTCTACCATTGTCTTTTTCGTTAATTTTTTTGTCATTTGCGACATTTTTGCTTAAAGGTAAAAAATTTAACGTAAACAGTTCTTTTCGTCTTCAGCTCGCTTCTATTGATGAAGTTCAACAGATAATTTATGATTTAAAATCAAATGCTCCTGGAGTTGACAACATTTCAGCAAAGATGTTGAAATTATGTTCACCCATATTGATTACTCATATTGTCAACTACTGTTTTGAGATTGGATATTATCTAGAAATGTGGAAAACTGATTTGGTGCGTCCTTTACCCAAAATTAAAAATCCCACTACATGCTCTGACTTAAGACCCATTAGCATATTACCCGTCTTATCAAAAATTTTAGAAAAAGTTATTTATAAACAGGTTTACAATTACACTCACTTTTATGTGCAAAATTAACTTTTTATGGTTTTGACTACATTTCAATTTTTTTTAATTCGTATCTTACTAATAGGAAACAAATTGTTACTATAGGTCCCTCAGAATCAAGAGCAAGAAATATTACATCCGGTGTTCCGCAGGGTTCAATTTTGGGACTACTTCTATTTTTAATATACAGCGCAGAAATATTAGAATCGGTAAAATATGTTAACTTTTGCAGATGATACACAGTTGTATTATCATTTTGACCCTGACGATGTAGAACGAGCTTGCAATTTTATTAATCAAGATCTAAATGAAATTTTCTTATTCTATAAAAGGATTGGTTTAAATTTAAGTTTGAGTAAATGTTCATCAATTTGCATTTCCACAAGAAATAAAAAAATCAACTCGGAAATTAATCTCAAAATTGGTAATATGGAAATAGGTATCTCAAACAGTGTAAAAAATCTTGGAATTATAATGGATTCGGAATTACGATCTAGAGAACATGTCAACTTGATTGTAAAGAGGTCTTATATTCTATTAAAAATGTTATATTCCAATTATCACATTTCGAATTGTAAAATTCGAAAAAAACTATGCGAGTCATTGGTGCTTTCCAACCTTAATTATGGTCTCAATATTTATTATTCATATTTAGATTATCAATCTAAATATAAATTACAAAAAATACAAAATTCGTGCTCTCGTTTTATTTACAAATTAAGAAAATTTCACCATGTATCTCAAAAAATCAAAGAACTTGGTTGGCTGCCGGTAGACCAGAGTTGTCAGAGTTCATATTTAAAATGTTTATTACTGCTTCACCACCCTATCTCTGTTAAGTATTTCATTCGAGAAAAAGTTGTCATTAAGTTTCTGTTCGTAATATATAGGGTGTTCGGTCCAAGTCGCCCTGGCTGATAACACATAAACTTACTTCTCTATTTCAAAAAGTAAATATTTAAGTAATAATATTCATTCTTGTCTTTGTTAGTAAATGTATCAAATTTTTTTAGCATATCCGGTGTTGCCGAAACCACTATTTATTACATTTTGCGTAACACAATGCAATCAGAAAACATCTTAAATCTTAGAATTTTAGAAGGATATTAGTCGCGTAGCCTGACTTTTAATTTTAAAAGAAAGGTGTGAATAAAAAAATGCTTGGATACATTTTAATTGTTGGTTTGACAAATCTAATTTGTCAGTTGATGAGCGAGTTCTCTTATGGAAACTCTTGAATGTTCTTCGACTGATAACAGAACATTCAGATTTCCATTTTCTTGTTCTTCACTAAGAACCACAGGTTTTTTAGTTTTAAGAAGCGAACCTGTTCGTCTCAGTTGTTTTTGAATTCGACTAAATTTCCAACGATTTGGGTGAACTCTATTTGAGTATTTTTCTCTAAACTGTCTTTCAGCTTCAATTCTATTTTTATTGCACTTAAAAAACACTTCAAGCTGATTTACCAATTCGTCGTAATTAATATCATCCATTATTAAAGATATCAATAAGATTTATTGACAAATTAGGCTTTGTCAAAATAACAATTAAACGGTATCGAAGCATAATGCTTTTTGCATGAATACCTTGACAGGTAAAATCCGCCTACGTTGCAAAATTTGCTAATAAAATTCTAAAATTTAAATTGTTTTCTGAGTGCATTATGTAAAGTAAAATGTAATAAATAGTGGTTTACCGTATTTTTCATGCCAATTATTATTGTTTCGAGCAAAAAAACATAGGTGTTCCATTTGAAAAACTAAATTGGTAGCATTTCCGTCTACATCGGATGTGCCAAAAAAATTTGATGCATTTACTAAGAAAGCCAGGAATGAATAGTATTACTGGAAAATTTAGTTTCTGAAAAAAAAAGTAAGTTTAGGTGGGCGACTTGGACCGAACATCCTGTATAGTGCTGACCTGTCATTACCAAAGTTTAAAACAGCAATATTTAAAAGATCTCTCTCCCACAATACAATAAAGTTATACAATTCTTCACATTTGTTTAAAGAAAAACTTTCAGTGAACAATTTTTGCAAAAAAATAAAAATAAATTTTTTGAACTTCTAGTTTTTTACTTTTGCTTTTTGTTATTTTCTTATTATTTTAATTTCTGTTATTTCTACTTAAATAATTTTTCTTAATTTTAGTTAAACTTTAATGCAATTTTTCATTTTTCTTTTTTTTTTTGTTAAGGGGGTTAAGTATGAATAGCAGATGCTAGACTTCGCCTCCCGAGTTGTATTTACTTGTTGTACGTACAATAAAGCCGCTTTATTATTATTATTTCTATTTCAAGAATAAATAAGACGTTTAAAAAATCATTGCCTAACTTAATAAAAAACGAATTTCTAATTTGTTTCCGTTTTGAAACGGGATTTTTCCACTTTTGAAGAGATACTTTGGGGCCACTCAACCGGTCCTTATCACCGCTCAAACATCTCTAATGTGCCTAAATACCACTAACACGTGTCCTCCGAATGCGTCCAATGTGAGGGCACTCCCGGATTCGGTATGGTCCACGTGATGTTCCCAAGCAGCAACTCATTAAGCGGATCATCCGTGAAACTATAAGTAAAATTCATGGTGACGTCGGCCAAAAAGGGAGACATGCTGAACTCTGCCCTCATGCATCTGTACGAAAGCGCTTCTTCCGAACTGGCATAGTACTGGATGACGTACCATCGTCCCATCATCTGCAAGCGGAAAACTCCATCATGGGTATGCCAGTCCCGTTTTTTCGTTTAAATTGCAAAATGCGACGTTGCGAGAATTCGAAAACAATAAAAATTAGATCGATGTCAGCGCTGGAATTCCTAACAGTTTTCGCGTAGGTACACACCTGTTCCAAATCGAAGTTCCTGATGGCTTTGACGTTGGGACATTTGGTTTTGTCTTCGGGGCGTTTGCGATAGGACCAGCAGGAGGAGACCAGCAGGAAAAGCAAAACAGAGCACAACTTCATTTTGTGATGGACTAGAGTTTGGTCATTTGTTGTTGTCTTTGCTTCCGTTTCAAGAGATAGCTTATCGCAAAAGTGGGCGAATTTGGTGTGGCTGTTTGTCGAAATTGGGTAACACAGTTGGAAATGAGAATCTAGGTACTTGCATGAATACGTAATTGGGGATTATTGCTTATTAGGCATTGTTAGTTAATTGTTGAAATTTGAATCGTTGGTTCCGGTTGATGCCTAAGCGATTTGCATTTGTTTGGCATTAGGTTAAAATTTGCATCTTTTGTTCATTTCAATGGATTCTTCAGGCTGGGTCAAGGAAAGCCGACCGAATGTTTAAACGAGACACAAAGTGATAAATTAATCTTTATTACGAGTTTTCTTAGTATTGATAAGAATTCACTTTATTAAATTTCTCAGTTAAGTAGGTTTTTTATAACTGATTCAGTTGTAAAAGTATAGTTTTCTGCTTTTTTTATTTAGGAACTACTTCTTTTCACTAAGATTATTTTTAATTACTTTTCTCCTTTTGGACTTAAAAAGACAAGTTTTTTTTATGTCTTAACTTTGCATTTTTTTTCTTTCTAACAGAATTATTTTTTAGTTAAGTAGGTTTTTTAAACCTGATTCAGTTGTAAAATGCAGTTTCCCGATTTTATTATCAATACTTATTTAGGAACTATTTCTTTTCATTCACTAAGATTCCTTTAAATTACTTTTCTCCTTTTGGACTTAAGAAAAAACATGTTTTTTTTTGTGTCTTAACTTTGCATTTTTTTTCTAACAGAGAAGATTTTTTAAAAGTGGCATTTTTGTGATTAGATGACAGAAGTATAAGATTTACTTTTACGCCTAAGCATAAAAGTTTTAGTCTTACTTCTAGGCATTTTTACTTTTACGTACTTTTGATTTTTGCTTTTTTCACGAATAAAATAATACCAAGAAAATAACCATTTATTACACTCATTAATATTATCTACGATTTTGAGTTTATATTGATATTAAAAACATAGTGAATTTTTGTTACATTTTAATTTAAAATGAATTCATCATCGAATAATTTGACCACAAAGAAAACTTTTTCATAGTTTGAGATAGTTCAGTAAAGTGAACCAGTAAAACGTTTTCGCAATAATTTTTTGTTTTTGTTTTGCAGATTCAACAAAAATCTTGAGTGTTACATTGTAGAATGGGCGTTGTTGTACGTTGTTTAACATAAAAAGAATCTTTTTGAATTTCTTTTCTCTATTTTTGCTGAATTCAGCATTTTAGAACAATTTAAAAACTGTAATTTTTCAACGTGAAAACTATATTTCTCAGTATTTTCGTAATTAATAATTATGTATATAATTTTTTGTGTAGTAGGTATAAAAAAATAATAAACAACAGTGAAAAAATATAAAAGTGGTTAATGTAGGTTTATTAGAATAAAAAGTGTAAACAAGGTGCAAATACAAGACTTTTTCAAAATTTATGAATTGAAATTTTGTTTTTTTTTAACTTCTGGCTACTTCTGCTATTGAAGTTTTTTCTTCAGAAATGTTGTTTTGTTCCATGTTTCAAAAAATTCATATTTTAAAAAAGTCGTCAATTAATCAAAAAATTGTAATTAAATTTTTAGGATTCTTCCCTTTAATACTTTTGTTACTTATTTATTTGGAAAACACTCAAAGATTTTCTTCTGCTCTAAATAAAGATAACGATATAATCTAAAAAGTAATATCTAAAAAAGTGTGCTAAATCCGAAATTTTCCCGTCGCCTTCGGCCCCAAAACCGTAATCGAATCGTGAGGTCGTCCATAAAACCCACACGTCGTCATTAGGAAGGAAGTTCACGTAATTTTGGCCATCGAGTCTTCGTGTCGGCATTACTATATTGGGTGTGTCGAAACCTTGGCCTTCTTTTAATTTCTTGAACGTGTTCGACTGACCAAAATGAAGCTCTTCCGCCACTACATGATTGTAACTTCTTGCTTTCCAGAAATGTTAAAGTTGGAGATTTCCAAAGCTCTACTTGCTCTCAAATTTGAGAATTGATTACGTAAACAGACTAATGCAGCATTGAACTTAATAGAGTCGAGCTCTTCTTCCGCTCTGAATGCTTCTCCCAGTCATTCACTAGCACCTCAGACATATGGTAAATGTGTTATTGCATCCTTTGTCACGCATTTACCAAACTATCAAACTAATCGCTTTTTATGTAATAAGAATATGTGTCAGCGTGTCGACCACAAATTGACGATGAGTTTAGACGAGTTTTCAATGACCTCGAAGGCTCGGCCACCGAAAATTCCTCAAACTCGTAGCAAATTGTTCTAATCCAATCATTTCCACTACTTTTTGCTCCATTTCCTGCCAACTTTCAACGCAAAAATCAAATTTCATACACCATAAGGTGTTAACGAGCATGAAATATGTCACAAACGACACCTGTGTGATCGACGAAAGCTGATGGTAATGGGTGGTCCTCTTCACTTAAGTGCTGGTCACACCTTTGTCTTTCTAAGCAATTAGATGCTTAATTGATTCGTTTTTGGTACTCTACCTCGAAAAATTACTCAGATTGCGATCTTTATTACCCACTTTCATTGAAGATACCAGGTTCACACATAATTTACGCACATGAATGAAATTAAAAGACGAATTTGCATATACAAGCCGCGACGGAGAAATGTAACTTGAGACGGCGCATAATTTAGAAAAAAAAAACATAAATTTGAGAAATTAGGAAAGGTGACCGATCTAAAATTCAAATTTTGCAAAACAAAAGCTGTGACACTTTTCACAATTTGATAACATTGGTTTCAAAAATATTAGGAAAGACTAAACAACGTATGGCTTAGCTTGATCATTACGACTTTTCAAACAATGCTTATCAAAATTTCCAGACTTTTAAAAAAATCACTTTAGAGAGAAAATTAATTATTATAAAAGCTCTTAAGTAACTTTTTTTAAACACTTCTTTACGTTTTTTCTCGATCAAATTTTTCCTAATATTTAGATCCAATTTTTAAAATACTTTTGAATTTTTTGCCAATCTCAACCAATTTTTCTTTTACAACCAGTGAATTTTAAAATGTTTTGAAAAAAATGTTTTTTATTGGAACTGAACTGAACTATAGTACAAAATATTAAAGAAATTAATGAAACAATTAAGTATAAAAATATCTCTTGTTTTCAAACATGTTTATCAAGACGTTTTTTAGATCTAAGACTAATCTAAAATTAAAATAATACTAGTAATAGAGGTTCTTTGTCTAAAGATTCGTTCTTGGTTATATACGTTAAATTTTTTAATATATTAATAATTCATTAATAATAATTTTAAACTAGTTTTCACAGTGAAAACATCCCAAAATCTCTTTATTTCCCATTTCAGACAACGAAGCTGATGTAGTTTTTCAAAGTTTTCTAAATTAGATGTAACTTTCAAAAAATGTAAATTTTTAATAATAATAGACATTCTTCACATAATTTTTTTTTTTTAAATCTTGTACAAATAATTACGGTAATTTTAAAAACAATAGTTGTAAAAACTGTTTTATAAACTCTGGGTAAGTAAAAAGTAGGACCAATTTTTATTTTCATGGATTTATCGATTCTTGCACGCTTAACACCTGGAATGATTACAGATCCTGATAGTGAATGCATTGACTACTTTTTCAAAATTAATTACTTTAAATAAAATTAGTTTAATTAATCGTAAAACGAATCGATCGTGCTTATGCTAGTTTTCAGAGCATGATGCGGACCTCATCTTCCATTATCAGCATAATTCGACGTCTTTATTTTTAATTGACACATGACCCGAATTCGGTCTTCATTCATTACTCGTCCAGAAGGGCGCCTCTTCGTCTGTCCGACTAGCAGGAAGTGAAAATAGTGGGTCAGTAAGGAGGTTCATCGGTGGAATGCTGCCTGACCTTGACTTGGGCCTCCATCAGCTGGTCTTTCGGCGCGAATTGTTAATCTAACGGCAGATTCGGTGCAATTTTCGGCGCGTCCGGAAAAGTCCGGAATTTGGCTAATTGCTGGATGGCCTCGTTGCGATTTGCATCCGAGCTGATGGTATTGTCGATGGAGAAGAGAGATGCGGTAAGTGGGACGAGGAATGCGCACTTGGATCGCTAATATCCTCGTAAATTAGACGCTTTACCTAAAGTATATAATTGTCACGTCCTACACGCGCATAATCTATTAAACCTGCATGTTATGAAATCGTTACAGATGGAGAAAGAGGAGGATGTCTAGTTGCGAGATGCGCAATCAGACGGGTTTTTTAAACTGTCTGAACGATTTCGGTGTGGACTAGAAATTTTTGGAGACTGTGACCCATTTTAATTGGTCTACAACCAAAAAATTACGAAAGTACCACACTAGGATACGAAATTATTTTATTAATCAAGATCTAAATGAAATTTTCTTATTGTCTAAAAGCACTGGTTAAAATTTAAATTCAAGTAGATGTAATGCAGTAAAAAATTAGATAGATTTACGTAATTTAAACATCAAATCAGGAAAAAAAGTTAACATTGATATATTCAACTTTAATGTTGATGATGTCAATAATTACTTTTTGTCAGTGTTTAGTATGCCAAATAATTGTGCTAATGTGACATTTTTGCTTGAAGGTAAAAAATTTAACGTAAACAATGCTTTTCGTCTTCATCTCGCTTCTATTGATGAAGTCCAACAGATAATTAATGATTTAAAATCAAATGCTCTTGGTGTTGACAACATTTCAGCAAAGATGTTGAAATTATGTTCACCCATATTGATTACTCCATATTGTCAACTGCTGTATTGAGATTGGATATTATCCAGAAATGTGGAAAACTGATTTGGTGCGTCCTTTACCCAAAATTAAAAATCCCGCTGTATACTCTGACTTAAGACCCATTAGAATATTACCCGCATTATCAAAAATTTTATAAAAAGTCATTTTACAGGTTTATAATTGTGTTGTTTCTGAAGGTATTATTACGAATAAACAATCAGGATATCGAAAAAATTATAGTACTGCCCTCGGAAAAATTCTTGATGATTGCTTTAGAGCTTTGGATAAAGGTGATGCCATCATTGTGACATTGTTGGATTTTTCTAAAGCATTTGACACGTTAGACCACTCACTTTTATGTGCAAAATTATCTTTTTATAGTTTTGACAACATTTCATTTTTTTTTAATTCGTATCTTACTAATAGGAAACAAATTGTTACTATAGGTCTCTCACAATCAAGAACAGGAAATATTACATCCGGAGTTCCGCAGGGTTCAATTTTGGGACCACTTCTATTTTTAATAGATAGCACAGAAACATTAGAATCGGTAAAATATGTTAACTTTTGTAGATGATACACAGTTGTATTATCATTTTGACCCTGACGACGTAGAACGAGCTTGCAATTTTATTAATCAAGATCTAAATGAAATTTTCTTATTGTTTAAAAGCATTGGTTTAAATTTAAATTTGAGTAAATGTTCATCAATTTGCATTTCCACAAGAAATAAAAAAATCAACTCGGAAATTTATCTCAAAATTGGTAATGTGGAAATAAGTTTCCCAATCAGTGTAAAAATTTTTGGAATTATAATGGATTCGGAATTACGATTTAGAGAACATGTCAACTTGGTTGTAAGAGGTCCTATTTATTTTAAAAATGTTATATTCCAATTATCACATTTTGAATTTTAAACTCCGAAAAAAAGCTATGCGAATCATTGGTGCTTTCCAACCTTAATTATGGTCTCATTATTTATTATTCATTTTTACATTATCAATCTAAATATAAATTACAAAAAAAATTCGTGCTCTCGTTTTATTTACAAATTAAGAAAATTTGACCATGTATCTCAAATATCAAAAAACTTGGTTGGCTGCCGGTGGACCAAATATACAATTATTTCTTGTCAGTGTTCATATACGGGATCATTATAAATTATTGTACCATCGTAGGTGGCTGTGCGCTATGCTTTAGCTGCGCCACTACGCCCACTAGTTGTTACAAACATTTATAATGACCCCGTATAAAATGTTTATTACTGCTTCACCATCCTATCTCGGTGAAACATTTTATTCGAGAAAAAGTTGTCATCAAGTTTCTGTTCGTAATATTGCTGACCTGTCATTACCAAAGTTTAAAACAGCAATATTTAAAAGATCTCTCTCCTACAATACAATAAAGTTATATAATTCTTCTCATTTGTTTAAAGAAAAACTTTCAATGAACAATTTTCGCAAAAAAATAAAAATACATTTTTTGAACTTCTAGTTTTGTACTTTTGCTTTTTGTTATTTTCTTATTGTTTTAATTCCCGTTATTTCTACTTAAATAGTTTTTCTTAATTTTAGTTACTGTAATGCAATTTTTTGTTTTTCTTTTTTTTTTGTTAAGGGGGGTTAAGTATGAATAGCAGATACTAGACTTCTCCTCTCGAGTTGTATTTACTTGTACGTTCAATTTAATAAAGCCGCTTTATTATTATTATAATTATTATTATTATTATTAAAATTTGTCTTTTTAAATTTTGCGAGTTTCGGATAAACTACCCGCAATTTTCTCGATTATCATTAATTGTAAAAAATTTGTTTTTAAATGAAAATTTAAAATGCTTTGGAAAGATAAAATCCACATCACACACAAAAAATCGAAAAAATCTGCTAAATCTGCCCGTGTAAACTGTTTTCACGTTATATCGAATAAATTATAGACGCCTCTATCCGGTGCACAGTAAAAAGCAAAATCTCCTTTTTGGAAAAATACATTTTGCCCCCCATTTTCTGAGGCTCTAGCTCCTTCACGAAGCATTTCCGGACATAGATCCATAGGAATATTTTTTCTTATTTTGACCTAGAAAAACACCCAAAGAAATCTTCCCACTTTTGTTCCGGACATCTTTATACTTTTATTTTTCGAAATAACTTAGTTTCTCAATTAAAATTTCTTTTGGATTTTAAGTATGTAAAATATTCCAGAAAATCTACCGGAAAAATCCGAGTAGTTTAAAAGTTAGCAAAAGTTGTTTCTTTCTTAACAGCAAAACAATAAATTCATTTATTCATAAATGGGAAAATACTTTCTTATTACCTAGTAGTACGAGTCTAATTTTCTTTCCTCATACCACATAATTCAATCAAATTAGGCTACGTTACAAAATATAAATAAATGGTATTATCATTATTTATTTTTTGATTGTTAGTTAAAAATTTAAACGATCATCAATAATATTGCTAATACTACACAAAGCAACTTTAATACTCCTAATTCTAGAAAACTTGTTTTTTTCTGAAAACTGTAAAAACGGTTAGATATTTTGAAATTGTAAAAACTTCTTCATGTACTAGATTAATTAGGTAGAATTTGAGATTTTAAGTTCCCCATTTTTTTGCTATTCGTACTAAAAGTAGCATGTTCAACCAGAAAAGTAGCTTAGAAATCGACATTACTCGTTACTCTAAGCATCCATTCAAAGCAATTTACACACATAATGAAATCCATTAATGTTATTCATTACACACTATTGTAGCATCAACAACACACTTATTATTCTTAAATTATCAACTTTTCTTGTTCCTTTTGTACCATTAGAGATAACCATCGGACCATCACTCTTCTAGTCCTAGAGAACCACAAAACCTGATTTATTTCATTGTTTTTCCGAGCACGAGATGGTAATTGGGCCCACCTAATGCCTCTTATTTAGTTTTTCATTGAAGGATGAGATTTCGAATTGGGCTTTTCCGGGAGTGGTGCCTTCCCGAAAGCCCCCTTGCGAATTCATCGTTGCACAGGTGCGGCGGAGATGTTTCGCATTATTTACCTACTTACGTCTGAAAATAGGCGAGAAGACGGGGCGAGATGGAATAACTGTACAAGCCGTGTCTGGGTCAGGAGGCGGTCTTCCGGCGGCTGGTGGGGCCCTCGTTCGGCGCTCCGCATGGTGTTTGCGGTTATAGTGGTAGTCCACGAGACAGGTGGATTCCATTCTTGGTCCGAACGAGCATCGCGTTAGCTGGTGTGGTTTTAGTGTACCCTTTTAACTAGTTCAGTGATCCAAGACACGGCTCTCCTAGAGCAGGATTACCACTCTTGGGGGCTGCCGCGCCGAACACAGACAGGTAGGATTACCACAAGGCGAAGAGTCTGGCGGCTCTGGGTCACGGGTGTCAGGGTCACCCACCAAAAGCGAGCTTTCGGGTTTTTGTATACAGGTGTGCCAGAACTCGCGCCCCAAAGAAATTTCATGTAAAAATGTTTAAAAAATTCTATTTTTTTCGTTTAAATTTTGCACTTTCTCTATTTATTTCTGTTGGAAAAATAATTTTCCAAGTTTTTTTGCTACAGGCTATTAGAAGAGGAAAAAAGGAAACTGTATCCTAAATTGTAACTCTGTTTAATGTTATTTGTGGCCTTTATTGGCAAAATTTTTTGACAGATAGAACCATGTTCCTGGTATCTTATCTTACTTGAAATTGGTGCGCGAGTTCTGACGTAGCCTGTATAGTGCCATTAGGATTTCGGTTGGATATTCAAGCTCTAAATCTTGTTGCAGATTAGTCTGGCTTTAATAAATTCATCACGATTGAACATAACCTGATAAACACAAATTGCACTTAGTTTACCGACGTGTAATTGATATAATAACCGTGATTTTGATGTGTCAGGTGGTCAAAAAGGTCAGGTTTTGAGTTACGCTATGTGCATTTGCGAAAGAGAAACCAAACAAATACAGATTTCCGGTTTGTGAGACGGTAGCATTTGTGTGTTTTTACTGCAATGAATGTGCACACACTGCAGGTGACGAGTGGATAAATACAGGATGCGCCAGAACTCGCGCCCCCGAAAAAAATGCCATGCAAGGTAAGATACCAGGAACATGGTATAAATGTTAACAAAATTATGAGAGTTTAAATTTGGCACTTTGACTTATTTCTGTTGGAAAAATATATTCCAAGTTTTTTTGCTACAGACTATTAGAAGAGGAATCAAGAAAGCTGTATCGTATATTGAAACTCTGTTTAACGTTATTTGTGGCTTTTATTGGCAAGTGGCAAAATTTTTGTACCTTTACTAAATGATTATAAAAAAATATATACAAGATCATCTATCATTAAATAGACAGAAAAAATGTCAAATGTCAAAAAATAAGTGTCAAAATTTTTTGACATAGAATTTTTCCATGTTACTGGTATCTTATCTTACTTGAAATTTTTCTCTGGGGCGCCAGTTCTTACACACCCTGTATATCCTTTGTTGGCTTCTGCTTCCCATTTTTTTGGATTTTTTGTGAGTCTTCTACATTTTCTTGATTGGACTGCCATATAAAAATACAATTTTTGTTTTGTTTTTTAATATCTACTACATTTTGAACAATTAAATTTGTCATGATTGTAAAACAAGCTTGGAAAATAAATAACAGTCACCTTAGTAATTTGAAAGATGACATAATTTTGTTGTCGTTTGTAAAATCTTGGTATTATTTTTATTTAGTTACTTTGACATAGTTTTGGAGGTTTTGTTAATGTGACTTTTTTATTTATTCCAATATTTTCTCGAAAAAATTAGCATCAGAACAATTGATCCTTCTGCTTTAACAAACAAACTTAAAATTTTGCGTCAAGGTCATAGTTTTTTCAAAAAAAAAATTGAAAATTTGGTGTCAAAGAAACCCCGACTTACCCCGGTTATTTTGACAGTCCCTTTAATTACGTTGAAAATTAAAGTTAGCCTGGGGGGTACTTTGACACCTTAAAACTAAAAATATATAATATATCATGTAAATAAACTTTATTAACCTCATTAAACACAAAACATAAAATATATATATATATTTTATTTGTATTTTCTTAAAAAAATTAAATAAGTAATTTTTTGGTATGTTGTTGCTTTCATATGGCATAAAAATAAAATAAACATTGTTATAATTTCGGTAGGTACATACCTATTCTGAAAATGAAACAAAATTAGTAGCCCCATAACGTGTCAAAGTAACCCCGGATGTCAAAGTAACCCCACTTTACGGAACTACATAAAAAATAGGTATATATTTTCTTTGATAATATTTTGATATTTCAATGTTTGCTTTTTTTGTTCTTTTTCTTTTCTTTTACTGTTTTTAAAAGTTACATGTTACATGTTCATATGTCAAAGTATACAGGCTGCGCCAGAACTCGCGCCCCAGGGTAAAATGACATATAAGGTACTAGGAACATGGAAAAATTGTAAAAAAAAATTTAACTATAAAAATTTCAAAATTATGAGAGTTTTGCACTTTTACTCTATTTATTTCTGTTGTAAAAATAATTTTCCAAGTTTTCTTGCTACAGCTTATTAGAAGGAAGCTGTATCCTAAATTGTAACACTGTTCAATGTTATTTTTGGTTTTTATTGGCAAAATTTTTTTACTAAATAATTGTAAAAAAAACATATATAAGATTATCAGTATCATTAAATAGAATAATAAAAATGTCAAATGTCAAAACGTAAATGTCAAAATTTTTTGACAGAATTTTTTTTTAATTTTTCGAAATTCCTGCTTTCTTATCTTACTTCAAATTTTTCTTTGGAGCGCGAGTTTTAATTTTGTATCATTATTTTGAATCTATTTTTGTTTTATTATTCAATTATTATTGCTATTATTAATTGTTTTGAACATCATACCAAATTAGTGGTCTTTTTACAGTCTTTTACTTGTTTTTGTTTTCTTTTATTAAAGAATTTTATTGTTTGTTTAAATTTTATTATAACTCTTATAGGAATTTTTTAGTTTTTATTCGTCTACTCAAATTTACTACACAACATAAATATTACTATTAAACGAATAAAATGAAGAAGAAATTGTTTGTACACAGAAGATACGATCTAGAGTTTTTTATTTATATCTTTTTTTTGTTTTTTTTTTACTTTTTGTATTTAATTTTTATTAAAATATGTAGTTTTTTGTAATGTATTTTTTATACGTAACTTTAACATGCCTTGGGATTTTTATTTTTATAACTACATAGTTTTGTGACATTTATTTTATTTTTTTTTAATTTCACTTTAATGTTTCAGTATTTTCTTATTATTGGATTGGTGAACTAAAAAAACTCAACATGAAAGTTGATTTTTTTGAAAATAACGGGTGAACAAAATTTCTGATTTTTGGATTTTTGGACTTTCAAGTCGCTCCCTTGTATTTAATTTGTTTGTTACATTTTACCTTTCAGTTTCGTGATTTTAACTGAAACTTAAAGCTTCCGCCTATCTCTGCTAGATGTCTCTTCGTGTTCAATTTCTCGTCCGGATTCCGGGTAAAACTACTAGGCATTGCAGGTGACACTGATCCACTCTTCCCGTTTTACCTAACCGTAACGTCCGTCTTGTGGTCTCGATGATGGATATGTTCAGTTTTTGTCCATGTTTCGACCGCGATCCGAATAAATCGTCTCATCCGGACTTAATGCCGCGATAAATTGCGATAATAATCGCACGCAAACACCGTCGGTGGGCGGGCGATTATTGGGTGTTTATTGACCGGTTAAAACCGCGTCCAAACATGGTTTTAACCTTTCACTACATTTGGCCAGGGCCTAATTAAACGGTTCTCACGGTGGGCACTCACCGAATGTATGTACAAAGAGGATAAGTTGGGTTTGGTGATTTGACCCAATGAGGCAGGATGCTTTTACTTTGGATGGATTTGGCGATAGACAGTTGCGAGATAATAAAACTATTAAAGGAGTTAAGGGTACCGTTAAAATCGATGCACTTTATTAAATATGACACATATTACTTAATTAATTATTTTAGTTTTATGTTAGCGGAAATTTATAAATTTTATACCCAATTTGTGAAAAGTCTTAATAAACATAATTGATACCTTAGCTCTATAATTTTCAACCTTAATTGATTTCTATAACTTGCGACAAGGTTTTGCTCTATTTGTTTTGTAATAACGTGATTGTATAAAAGTAAACAGAATGTCTCATTTAAAGCTTATTTTCTGTTGCAAGCCAAGATTTTGTTTCAAATCGAGCTAAGTTGTTCTAATATTTTTACTCAAAATTGGATACAAAAATTAAAATAGAGTAACTAAAACCAATATTTTGATAAGTGTTATGACTATAAGAAACAACAAAAGGATAGGAAAAATTGTGAGTGAAAAGTGTGAGTCTTGCGCACAAGATTTATATTTGTGTCTCTTATTATCTTAAAAGAGAATAGAAAAATTCTCATGTAAAAAGGGCAACTTTTTTCATTTAGCTTTTACTTTATCTTGATATTTATTTGCATTTTAGTTGTTTCTTTATCTTTTTTATTGTTTATATTTTTGGTGTTTTACTAAAAATGGATTCATAGAAAAAATATAAGTAAGCCAAGATTTTTTTTGTTCATCTGTTTTTATTTGAATTTTAAAATATGTATACAGGGTGCGCCAGAACTCGCGCCCCAGAGAAAAATAAGGTAAGATACCAGGAACATGGAAAAAATGTTAAAAAAAAAATTATCTATAAAAATTTCCAAGTTATGCGGATTTAAAGTTCAATGTTATTTGTGGCTTTTATTAGTAAAATTTTTGTCCCTTTACTAAATAATTGTAAAAAAACATATACCAGATCATCAGTATCATTAAATAGATATCAAAAAATGTGAAATGTCAAAAAATAAATGTCAAAATTTTTTGACACAGAATTTTTTAAACATTTTTTTCATGTTCCTGGTATCTTACGATACTTGAAAATTTTCTCTGGGGCGCGAGTTCTGGCGCACCCTGTATAATTCATGGTGTGTAATAGGTGTATATAATGTATACAGGCTCTTCCCAACTAAAATGTGCACTTCCTTAAATCTCCGATTTCGTCCAAGTTTGGAAAAAATGTTGAAACAGATCAATTTTAACTGAAATGGGGACCAAGTTTTATCAATGTTTTAAAGTTATTTCTGCATCCCTCTAACTCCCAGAGCCACCCCTTCAAAAAATTTAAATAGCAGGAGGAGTCGAGTGACACATAATTTTGAGGTTGCTTTTATATGCAACCGTTTTTTTTTTGAATTTTGAACATTTTTTTGAAATTTCTGTAAAAACAAACAAAAATGGTTATAAAAAACAATTCAATTTAAAGTTATACTGCTCAAA